AAAAAAAAAAAAAAAAAAAATCAAAAGTAATGCAAAAATTTCACAGTGAACGCAATATCAAATATTTGAACAAAGACAGGGTGACTATTAATGATTTGTCCTTTTGTCCCAAGAAATGGTTCTGCATGGCATGGGACTTTATTTAAAATTATGATTTTCTGCTATTTTTTACATTAACTTGTTTTTTTAAAAATTGTGTCTTTATAAATTTTTTCAATAACTTCTTTTGACCTTTGCTAGAACCATGACTGATCTAATTACTTAATCAGAATCTCTGAAGGTGTGAACTAGAAAGCTAAAGATTTTGACAGTTCCTTGAATTGGATTTGATAAATACTGATTCATGCTTCTTTTGCCCACTTTGTCTACCAAAGACAGATCCAGATATATTAATTACCTAGACTCAAAATTTCATTATACCAACCTTTTACAATAATACAGTCTAACATCCCATCTGTTTGGATTTTGAGGACAATTTCTCCCTTCTCATAAAATCCCAAGTGATAATGATAATTGGTGCTAGTCCTTAGATACAGAAATTACCAGGTAGAACTCTTGGCTTTGGAACTAGTGGTGGCAAAAATACATACTAAATAAAAGGGAATAATTTTATTAGGTGACCTTTGTTTTTCTCTACCCATTTCTTGATAGATAATCAAGTTCACATAGGATAAAGAGGAACTGTAAAATTGTAACAGAACTTCATGTTACAGAAAAAGAATGTAACCATAACAAGTGATTAATAAGCGAAAATGTCATTGTCTTTGGCAGTTGAGTTAATTCCTTGTAGGGTTGCATTCTACCATGGCTGCTAAAGAAATGAATACAACTCTGTTCCAAAGATTGCAGATTACTGTTGCATTCACAGGAAGTCTCAGTTTCTACATATTCTGGTCTCAGATTCTGGTGCAGCAGAAAAGAAAAAGGACCAAGCACGGTTCTGGAGCAGACAGACTTGGATTCAAATCTCACCTCGAATAGGTAAGCTCCCTGGGGCAAGATACTTGATTTTTCTCAAACTGAGTTTCCTCCTTGAAAAAGCCATGGATACCTGAGTATGTTAATTCCTATTGTGCCTTATGGCTTACATGTCCTCATCTATAGTTCATGGAGTTTGATTTGTTGTTTCATTTATGCCCAAGTTCTTTATCGTTGCCTGGTTATTGCAACTACCAAACAATATTTTCAGCTAAGAGAATGGAATTCTAATGAGAAAAAGAAAATTCCACATCAAGAGAAGCAATGTTATTTGGGGTTCTCCTAAGCAAATAAGTCCAAGATCCATCCTAAAATGTGGGTAAATTACATTAATAAAATGGTACCAGCCACATTACTGTTCAATATCAGTCACTCTACATTTTGGTATGCACTTGTACCAAACACAACTATTTTAGCAAACAGAATATCAAGCAATATTATAGAACTATGCTCATTCTTGTATTATTCAGACACTTTGTAACATTTGGATGGATACAATTACCTTAGTGGTGGATACATTAGAGTTGTGCAGGAGGAAATCACAGTTTTAATCCACATATAAGGATGGGTACATGATTACATCAATATTTTGTTTCAGATTTCTGCTATTATCTCATAAATGGGGCTTTTAGGAGGTGGCTTTATCTAGAGTGTGTGATGACAAGATTAAGGATGTGATTGGCGAGCATCCTGGATAGAATATAAGGGACAGAGAGAAGGCTGCTGTTGTCAGTTGCCACTTTCTGCTGCTTGCTGCTGCTGTAGGCTGCCTTCTGCCTGCTGGATTTACCATAGACTGTTTCTCCTCTTTAATTCTCCTCTGCCGTGCCACCCTTCCTTGGAGCCAGCCACTTATGGACTGAAGCCTCTACAAACTCTGACAGTCTTTCTTCTTTTAGCTTTGGCTGTCAGGTATTTTGACTAAGCAATGAGAACAGTAAGACAATACTGTAACGCCTAGTGATATCAAAAATTTTGTTTCCATCATTTTATGCATTGACTGGGCTAAGTTGCATGGCTTTCCTATGTGCTCTATAATGAGTGGGAAGCTGGGTGGGGCTGAAATGACCAAAATGGCATCTTATTCTCTAGGGTGTCTACATACAGCCTCTTGAGAAACACTAGTCTAATGACTGGCACCCAAGAGGCAGAAGGCAGATGTCCATCTTCTTGAGGCGTGGTCCACAGTGTCTTAGCTGCATTCAAAGCAATTCATAAGACCAGGCCAATTTCAAAGATAAAGGAAATATTTCAGTTCCTGGTGGGAAGAATGTCAAGCTTGTACTTGGAAGACAGAAAAAGTACCTAACAATCTGTGGCTGTAGCTGGAGACACTTGAAGGTAAATTTTTGAAAATGGATTTTTATCTACTAACTTATAAGAAGATATTACAAGACACAGGTGAACTAAAAAAGAAATTTTTGGGTTTTCAAGTGGAATTGAAAGCAGGTTTAAACCTAAATCTTGCTGTTAGAAAATAACATTATTTCCCAATTCCTTAAAGCACTGAAGCCTTTCAAAGTAAGAAGTAGCTTCAGGGAAAAGATCAAATTTAGGCTTTGACAATAAAATGTGGCCTTGAGGTTAAGACCAAATCAATAGTACTGCTGTAATGCTGCTTTTAAAAACCCAGAAAGATTTAGAGCAATGCCTAATGGACACTTTCAGTCAGACAAATACCTCCTAATAATTCTATAGCTCTTATCCTAGGGCATCCCAAATTCCCACCCGAAGTAGAAAGGGGCCAGTCTTGGAAAGATTTGTACTTGTGGTGTTTTTCTTACTGTAGTGAATTGTAGTTTGATAGCTTGGAAACCCACAGTGTTTTTAAGGTAGTTGAATTATATTGTGTGAAATGAAATTTCTAAATCATTACCCTTTTCACAGGCAAAATGAAGGCTGAATCACTCATTATAAATACATAATAGATCATGCCTGACATAAAGGGAAGGGTGGGTCAGAGAACAGAACCAAGAGCTGGGGGTGGAGGTTAGTCATAGAACATTGCTCCCAAGGCCCATTACTTGGTCGTAATCAAGGAATACTCCTTGCCCTACAGTAGCATGTTCTTGTCATTTTATGCAAAGTTTGTGTTTACAAATCTCAGTTTGACAAGGTTCACACTGGAAGAGACTTATCTGGATGTGAATGTGGATTAGAAGATATTAGTCTTTGGCTCTGATCTCATATTTGAACAAAAACTGCTAGTCTCTGAACTGAGGTAAAAAGCTTTCCTTTATGGGCTAGAAAAGAATTGGTATAGCCAGAGGATATATTTCATAAATTATAAATTACCTGCAGATATTGCTAATAAAAATTTCTTCCATTCCAGTATGTGCAGCATACTCCTGGTGTAAGAGGTAGATTTTGTTTGAGAGAGAAGTGGGGGGGAGCAGTAGCTTGATCTGACTAATAAATACAGGAAGAGGGAGATTCTGGGATCTTTGAGGCCAGATCTTAGGTCTGTTGACAACTTTCCCTCTTTCATGTACTATCTGAACCGTCACTGCAGAAGCTGAATTCCCCTTTGGAGGGCACCGATGAGGGAGTGAGGGAGAGCACTGCAGACTGGGCATCAGGAGATCTCCCATCTGAAGGCAGCCGAGTGAGTCCAGCAGCTGACCTCACGTGACATCAAGTCATTCCCAAGAAAGGTGAGAAATCACGTCATAGTTGTGTTTCAGCTACTGCATTTTCCTAACAGATGACCACAAACTTAGTAGCTTCAAACAGCACACATTTCATCGTCTCACAGGGTGTCTGGGTCAGGAGTCTGGTCACAGCCTAGCCGGGTCCTCTGCGAGGGAGCTCAAGGCTGTACTACTGGTGCCACACATACCGCAAACTCATACGAGTCTCGCCTAGAGGAAAGTCTGCTCCCGCGCTCATTCAAGGCACTGGCAGGATTCTTCTTCCATCCACACATCTGTGGTTTCCTCCTGACTCTCAGCTGATGTCCACTGTCAGCTCTTGGAGGCCACTTGGCTCCCTTCCGGGGGCTTCTCCTTAGGCCACTCATAAGGTAGTTGTTTGTTTCTTGCTCAAATCTGCTAAGAAAGAATACAATATAATTAATAATGGAACCAACAGAGGTCAAGACACAAAAACTTCGGGTCACACTGGTTTCCTAACCTGAAAAGGCAGTTCTCAGGGATACTTTATTCAGAAAAGGAAAAAGTTTACCAGGACCAGAGTGTGTCACTTGGTTCTGGATTATACAACAGCAGAGTGTTGCTGTAAGCCAGGGGTGGCGGACCTCCGACACGCGTGTCACAGTGGGTTATTCATATCATTGAAAGCTCTAAGATGTTCGCCATCAGTGCAACTCTGGTAATGTTGCTTCAAAGTAAAAAAACAAAACAAAAAACCCCCAAACCGTGACAGCAACTCACATGTTTGAACTAAGTACAATAACATTTTATGTATAAGACACTTTATGTGGGTGCTCAATTAACACATAAACTAACCCTATCATATTATTATAAATTTCCTTTAAAAATATGAGGAAAGTGAGTCTTAGAGAGTTTATTAAAATGCCAAGGTTTAATCAGCTAGGAATTCAGGGAGCCATGACTCTAATTCTTTCATTCCCTTTAGACTCCCGAAGTACATAAATTGTATCCACAAGGCAAACTGTTCCTTTACTTCCCTTCAAAATGGACTGAAACTACTTTGCATATGTTTGGCTTACAACACTGTACTCCTCCCATTCAAAATTAATGATACAGAGAATGCATTTTTGCAGGGTTTTCTCCAAAGAACTGAGGTTATAGATGACAGAGAGAGCATCATTCTGAATGTACCAAATCAATGATTTCTAGAAAAATATTTTTTTCCTTTTTTTAAGTCAGAAAGAAAAGCTTTAAATATCTGAAAAAGTTAGGAACTTGACCCAGTGAGTACAGCTGAGTGCTTTACACATTGTGATGGTAATAAAACCCATTGGCAATTCTAGATACAAAAAGCTGAAAGGAAGAATCAAATACAGAGAGTTTTAGAAAATTCTGTTTATGAAAAATAAAATCAATCGATCGAGAACTTTTCCGTGAAGGAATCAGCCTTCTAATCTCCTAAGTAACGCGTGAAAAATTCTCAGTGCTGAGGAGAGGAGAGTTGATAACTCTCACACCCGAGAGCTTCACAGAACTGTCGAACTGCAGACAGACTAGTTAGAGACAGCTATGAAAACTCAGCAGTGTGGTGATTCTGCGAGGGTCACCTCGGAACGGGGAGAGAGAAGAAAGGATTTTACACCCACCAGTTTGACCCCGATAGCTTCAAAGCAGGATGAACCCTCCACCCTGTTCTGCATTCATTCGGTCCTTTCATTATGCCTTTTGATGCTGCAACCCCACCTGTGCGCAGCAGGCAGAGAGAGAAGCACGGGGACACCAGGGAGCAGGACACACTTGTTTTCTTCCCGCACAGAGCTCACTATGTGATGGAGAGGAAAATTAGATCACAGGCATGTGCAATTCAAGTGCTGTGTAATACAAGCCATAGGGAATACGGTGGACCCTTGACTTACGGACTCAATAGGTTTCGAGGGCTGGTTGTAACTAAGTCAGTAGAGCTGAGATCTGGATGTTTACCTGGGTATGCGCTTTAATCAATAAGAGGATTAATGAATTCTCATTAACTAAACACTTACAGCCAAGTTTCTGTATTCAGGCTGGTGGCAACTTGAGGGTCCACTGTACTCCCAGGTGAGTGGGGTATGCTCACATCACGGAGACTTCCTGGAGGAAATCGAACCCAGAGTGGAGCTCAACTGATGATAGCTGAGCAGATGGAAAGTGTGTGGGGAGCCTATTCCAGACAAGGGACTCGGGGCTCCGGGACCTGGTAATGAGAAAGAGCAAGCTCAGTTGCAGGAGTGAGATGTATGTGAATAGCTCAGAGGCATGGAGGAAACAGGAAGGAGCTTAAAGTGGAGAAGTCAGGAAAGACTTCAGAAATGTCGCCAGGGACAGCACAGGACACTGAATGATGTGAAATAATCTTATTTACTTATTTTTGAGATGGGGTCTCTCAAGGCTGGCCTTGAACTTACTATGTAGCCCCGGCTGGCCTGGACCTCATGGAGATCCTCGTGCCTCAGCCTCCTGAGTGCTGGGATTGTAGGTGTGTGCCACCACGCCAGGCTATGAAATAATTTTAGAAGATTAGTTAAAGATGAGATACGTGAATGGTAAAGAATACAGCCAAAAAAAAAATCAGAATTAAGAAAATTTAAAAATGAGATGCAAGGGCAAGGTGTCTTGGCTATAAACTACAGCTAAATCTCTGAAGAGGTTTTAAGCTCTGGAATGAAATCATGAGATTTACATTTTGAGACAGTTGATTCCAGTAGCCAAATAGAAGATCCAGAAAGAAAAAGAAGGAATCACAGAGACCATGTTCATAGAATTTGACATCTGGGTTAGAATTTAGCCACAGTGATGGTTAATTTTAATGTTTAGTTGGAAGGACTTTGAACAGTGCATCAAGCTGTCCATTGGCTTGAAAGGAAAAACATCCAGCTGTGTCATTGTATAGTGGTGACTTGTGGCCATGGCCTAGCTGATGGTCAGGAAATTGGAAGGTACGTGATTAGAAAATTGGGAACAAAGATCTCTCTGAATGAGCAAGGAAAAAAAAACCGTGTTTCCTGCTTAGTCTGTTGTAAATACATTTGTGTATGAAATATTATTTTCTTTGCTTCCATTACTTGTATGTAACATAAGATGTATTTAGCTAATGTCATAGTATTTCAATGTTATTTATTTTACATCATAGTATTTAAATTACCGGATACCGAGGAAAAGACTAAATATCGTTCCAGGACTTTAGTTCTTCTGAGAAGGGGTTAGTGCATTTGCAGCTATCTGTAAAACAGTCCCATCATGTAAGGTAATGATTAATCACCTTATTGTCTCCTGGGAGAATGAGAGTAAATATGAAGAGAGGTGTATAGTGCCACAGTCATAAGGAGCAGATTCATGATGGTTAATTTCAGAACCACAGAATGCCCAGGTCGTCAGCTGCATTGTTTCTGGGTGCATCTTGGAATGTGTTTCCACTTGAGATTAGCATTAGAACTAACAGGCTGAGAAAAACAGAAGGCCCTTTCTAATGGGAGTGCCATCATTCAGTCTACAGGGGGCCTGAAAAAAATAAAAACATGGAAGATGGTGGAATTTTCTCTGACAGCTTTACCTGACACTTTAATCTCCTACCTCCAGTTCTCTTGGTTCTTAGGTCTTTCAGACTCATGTGGGATCTACATGTGCAGCTGGTTTTTGACCCACACCACCAGATATCCTAGCTCTCCAGCTTGCAGACTCATGCTGGGATCTACATGTGCAGCTGGATTTTGACCCACACCACCAGATATCCTAGCTCTCCAGCTTGCAGACAGCAGACATTGGAGTTCTAGACAACTACAGCCATGCGAGCCTATAATTTATAATGAATCTTGTTGGCTCTGTCTCCCCTAAGGATGAAGAATCCTATATAATATAGCCACAAAATTATTTAGCTACTCTAATGCAAAGCAAAACAAATCATATATACAACAAACAAAATTTCCCATGAGAATGATATTCTAAAAGAGTAGGATTTTTCCAATGTCTTATAGTCTTCATTATTCCTGATTCTCTCATAGCTGTCTGCGTAACATATTCATGTCACCATTCCGGTCCCTGGACTAGAAAAATTTACAACAGTAAGAAATGAAATGCTAATGATCTAACTAAGAATGACTATAGTATTGATTCAGAGGAAAGAGAATAAGAAGAATATGAAAGTTAAAATCAATAGCATTAGAGGAAGAGACTATAATTTGTGACGCACGATGAGTGGTAAAGATGACTTCAAGGTCGAAGAGTTCATCTTCCATGGTTTTGCAGTAGGAGAAGCAAAGCAGAGTGTGGGAAACATTCATATAGAAAGACAGCTTTAGGAAGAGTACAGTGGTCTGGGAAGGGGACCTTGCAGGTGGCCAAGTGTGCACTCTGTCTCTGCCCTTCTCAAGTGTGTGACATTTGCTTGTGGGTCACGAGTAAGAAAATGAAATAGGGAAAAATCGCTTTGCAGAAACTAAAAATGTCTTAGAGTCCCAGAGTTGTAGTCAGCTCACTTCGTGCTCCATTAACCCAGGTAAACAGGAGACCCCATCAAGGCCAAAGAATGGCGTGTTGGTTCCCACATCTAGCTAATGCTTGGCTCCCTTTCAATCTAACATCACTTACGTATTTGTCCACATTTATTTAGTGGAAGCAGAGGAACTGATTCTGTTAAACAGTTATTAAAATCACACTGCGTTCTGAACATAGGTGACCTCCACAAAATTTGTCACTCGACACCTGATCCCCAGAGTGATGATGTTAAAAAGCAGGACCTTTGGGAAGTAACTGGGATTCGTGTTTATAAGAATGAGGCTTATTTACCGGGAGCCCTCGAACACTTTTGCCGTGAGGTCACAACCAGGCAAGCACCATCATTAGAGCAGAGAGCAACCCTCCCAAGAAGCCAGATCTGTGAGTGCCTGGGGTCTTGGACTTCTCGGGCTCTGGAACTGTGAGCTCTGAGTTTCTGTTGTTTATAAATACCGAGTCTAAAGCACATCCCAATAGCAGCCCAAAAGAACTAGGGCACATCATGCAAAGCATGT